AGTTTTTAGTAACTTTTAATTGCTCACAGTGCAAAATAATCCTTAATTATGTTATACCGGGCCTTAGTGCAGATCCTCAGTTCACCTATTGTCCTAAACAAGCCAGCTTTTCTTCTGATTTCAGCCAAATCACAGCCAAAGCAGTGTGCCTGAGCTGACCACATTAAGGATATTTGCTATCAGTGAAATTGGTACAAAGGTCAATGGAAAATACTCTGTGAAACCAAGCCTGAACTTTCAGCACAGAGGGATTGGTTGGACGCTATTTGAAACTGTGGCCTATGTTTAATATAGAAAGCATCACAGGCCATATTTAGAGACAATAAAGAGACTGTAGTTGATTGTAAAGTTACACAACTCACAGCTTGTAAGTGGACTTTAAAACAGTAAAGCAGGTTGTCTCCTGTTCAAACATCATCACATGTACTCAGCTTGCATAAACACACTGTTAATGATGAGTAATCCAACTACATTTTGTTCCTCACAGCGTCTCCATCCGGCTGCCCAGCACCAGCGGCGGCGACGGTACCATGTTCAGGTCTGTGCCCGAGTGGCTGGAATCCATCAAAATGAGCCAGTACAAGGAAAGCTTCGCTCGCGCTGGGATAACGACCATGGAGCAGGTGCTCGCTTTGAGACATGAGTAAGTGCACACATGGCACAGGTGCAGCCTCCGTCATGCTGTACTAACTTATCCGGCACCGTTGCACATTTTTTCAGTGACACAGAGAAAGTATCCAACTGTCAGCCTGAACATTTGTTAACCAGCGTGCGAATGCATGAGCACTCTGCTCCGCCTCTGCCACTCATGTCATTCCACTCATTCTCTGCTGCTGTTACTTCTGCATGAGTGCCTCACAGGCATTTCTTTTCTGAAATATGCCCCATAGCCCTGTCAGATAAACCCAAGTAACCATTTAATGACAACATCGCTTTAAACAAACCATTTTAAACCCATTTGAAATAATAAACAATAATGGTTTGGTTCATTTGTACATATTTTTTGTGTAGGTACAACTTTTATATTACCCTTAAGCCACCTATATGACCTGTCTTTGCCTTTAAAGGAGTTAAAACACCCTGAAAATGTGTTCACATCCACCACCACTCTGCTGTTTTTTTTTTTCTGTCGTTTCAATCCTGTGTTCACGAGATACTTATGTGTCATTTTCAGAGACATCAGGAACATCGGAGTGAGGCTGCCCGGTCACATGAAGCGGATAGCATACAGCATCCTGGGCCTGAAAGACGAGACGAGCTCCCTCAGCGTGTTCGCCGTGTGATCTAAGCATTCCTTCAAATCAAAGTGCACTGACCGACCATGCCATTTCACTCACGGAAGACAAGCACTGAAGTGGAGGGGCTGAAACTGAGCTACACTACAGGGGGTCTTTTTTTTTTTTTCTCCTGTGGTGCAGTGTGGTATGACTGAAAGGGACCCTCAGAGAGGACTCAAAATGAGACCATTCATGTACTTAATAAAAGAAAAGTAATTTATCTTTATATAAAAGTGTTTATAATGTCGAACATAAGCAAGTTATGCAATGCAGTAAATAGAATGATATAAATGAGGGTCAAATGTGGGATAATGTGAGAATGCTCGGCCCTGCATTTCCTGAAAGACTGAAATATCTAAGGCTCTTCAATGATAAAGAGCGACTTCTTCGAAGAACTCAGCATCCTGCCGGTGATTCTGAATCCTTAAATTTGTTTTGTTTACTTCTTGTGATCAGTGAGACTTTCTTTTAAATTAGGAATTGTTATTCCTCTCAGGGCAAAGAATCACATTCTTATGGTTTGTTGTTTTTTTTTAGTTAGTCTCTGTGTCACACCACGCATCTCTTTGTTTTGTTTACATTACGTCTTAATACAAATGTTCATTTTTTTATTTATTATTTATTTTGTATTTATGTCAATTGTTACATGACAGATAACTCTGATCTTGTGCACAGGTGGTGTATTTCGTGTTTAAATAAAATCAGAGTTGCCTTGTAACTGTATCGCTTTCTTGTATTGGGCAGCAGTGAACATGTGTTTTTAGACTCATGGCTGTAGCGATGGCAAGTTTGACAGTCCGCTAAAATAGCTCAACACCAAGCTGGATGGATTGGCGTGAAAGCTGATTCAAACGACTGTGGTCCCCTGGCAATGAATCACCTGCTTTTTTTTTTTTTTTTTTTTTAAAGCAACACAAGCAGGTTGACATTTGTGGGTCAGACAGACGGTTTCAATAACTTCCGGATGGATGACCATGCACATAGTCTTCGTAGACTTTGATCATCAGCTGAACTTTCAACTAGTGCTCTCATTAAGTAAAAAGAATAAGCTCTCCATCAGCCTCAGCTGTACTTTGTAGTTACAAAATAATATTAAATTACATTAATACATAACACCTAAAAGTAAAAGGCCATGTTTTAAAAACATAAGAACATACAAACTCTGCAAAAAGAGGTCCCAGTTGGCCAAAAGATTCAAACCCAGAACCTTCTTGCTGTGTGGGGCGACACTAACCATTGCACCACCATGTCGTCCATATAATAGTGCCTCTCTATGCAAAGTATGCAGAAATTTTATTTGAACTTGAGCATTGTCTCCATTGCATTGATCTTTCCATACTATCCCAATCTCCACTTGTTGTGATCATCTGTTTCTGGAAACCTGAAGCTCAAGCTAAGGCCTGCTACGATGTATGGTTTGAAGTTGGATGGTGGCTCTGACATGGTGTGACATGTAGGCAGATGAGCTGCAGAAGCAAAAGCATCATCATTATGCATTGCAGCTAATAGTTGCTCTGTTTCTACTAAATACTAAAAAAATCAAGAAAAGTAAAAGATAGTGGCTTACAAATTACAAATTACAATGTCTTATTAAATAGTGTTGGGGACAGGTTGAGTTGTCTTAGTTCTTAATTATTTCAGAGCAGAGCGGTGCACAGGCACACATATTCAGACCAGGCTGTTTCTTAGGTCTATCTAAAGGCCTAAGGCTCAGTGGCCTTACTTACTTTAGCAAATGCACATGCCCCTCTAAAAGGCTTTACACAGGGTAACATCCCAACATGGACCCAACATGATATGAACCCATAAATTAGTTGATGATCAAACCAGCTTTTATTAGTACAGCCTCACAGAGCTTGTTTTTCCATGTTTGTCATGCAGATGGAATTGATAAGGCTTCGTTACTTTGGCAAGGTGGGGCAAAATGTCACACCTACTCATGAGTGTGCTCCTTCATACCCACAGCTGTGATTAATCACCCCTCTGCTCAGTTTAACTGGAAACTCATTGACACTGGGTCTTTTGTGTCAAATCCCCCTTACACATCCTTAAAATGAGCACAGTTAAATTATAAATTATGAAAGATAACGTGACCTTTGTGGCTTAAAGTTAAGACTGGCAGCTCACACAGTGATAATTATTATAATTATAGTATATTGCTTCACACAGAAACATCTCCGCACCCCTTTCTCACACATAGACACAAAGACTCACATGGACCCCAGTCATGGGTGCGGCTAAAAATGTCAGACCCCCTTGACAACAGTTCAACAACAGTTTTGACACATTAAATATCTACAATCGGTGTCATGTTCCAGTCCAGCTGGATCATTAAGGGACCAAAGCCACAGCCACAGCCACACCCGGTGGTACACACAATTTCCCAGTAGCCTATAAAAGACTCAGTGCATGATGGTAAAGGTTTTAAGACAGACAAAGGAGAATTTACTATGGAGAAAAATGGGAGAAATTTCTCTGAGGATTCAGGATTGCTAAATCAGCACAGCACCAGAGAACACAAATTTACAGGTCAGCTGGACAAAACAGACACAGATATACTTTAATATATATTTATAGCACTGCAGGGAACATATTAGCTAAAGAAAAAACTAAATCAACATGTATCAAAATTTTGTGGATTTTATTTTAAAATCTCTATTATATAAATGACTATTTCAGATCATTTACAGCCTACGGGAAAGGTGCAGATCACTGGAGACATTTTTCAGTTCACTCTTGATGTGAGTGAATTTTCTCCAGAGGATGTCATCATTACATCCTCCAACAACCTAATAGAGGTGCATGCAGAGAAGGTGAGCCCTGCAGTCAGGCTGGTGTAAAATCAGATGTAATCTGTGACAGTAACTTAACTGATGGCCTGAGTTAGTGAATCATTGACAAGTTCTATTATTCATTTATTTAAATGAAATTAAAGCAATGCACTGGCTTTAGTTGTTTGATTGTGTGTTAACTTTTAGAACTGTATTTGTCTTCTTTTGTTGTGAAACAATACACTTTTGATTCAGGACCTGAAATTTGGATTTATATCTTTTGCTGTCTCTATGGTGTTTTCTTTGAATTTGATGGCTTGATGGTTTCTTTGATGGTTTAACTTTCTGCTTTGTTCTGTTCTCATAACCTCTGTTTTTGCCGTGCAGCTGGGTGAAGATGGCACAGTCACAAATACTTTTTCCCACCAGTGCAAACTGCCATCTGATGTGGACCCCATATCTGTGAGCACGTCCATGGCGAGCGGTGGGCTCCTGACTGTCAGGGCTCACAGAGTGTGTTAGTGTATAATTTCTGTGCATTTCAATTAAAACACATCAAGCCTCGTTTTATTTGAACTGTCTTCTTTGCTCCGTTGTATTTTTTTTACCTGTTGTAACCTCAACATTAACTGACTTACAAATAGAGTTCGATGGAGTTTAGCGACCTCAAGTGTCCGGGGGAAGGACTGGGGGAAAGTTTTTTTTTTAGAATGTAACATTTATTTTCAAATGGGAAGGAAACATACGGAGACATATAGTTAATATGTTATTTATAATAAATAAATGCAAATAAGAGTAAGTAACTTTATCATATTAAAAAATATCAACTGTAAAATATCCAACGAAAAACTACGTTGAATTATTTCATCTACAACGGAATAAAGCAAATAAAAGAAGTAAAGAGTATTTACGAGTAAACCTGAAGGCAACACCACAATTTGAGGGAAGTGACGACATAGGTTGTCAAGGGACGCTTTAGTTTACGGAAGTTTTTGCATTTTGCCGACAGCGGTTGTTGTAATTTATATTTATGTGTTTTTGTGATTGGTGTGGATGCTTTAAATGTTTTATTACTGCAGTTCAAGCCTGTAACAAGACAACGTTTAAAAAAATATCCTCTGGCCCAGACGGGAACCGACTTTTCGCCTTTTTAAGCGACATACCCGAGCTCTGTGTGATGCTGTAGCTTTGTAACCGACATGGCAAAGGTTCCTCCCCCAGGATCAGTCGTAGTCGCAGACTGGCATCGATATAAAGACAGTAAAGAGTATTTCAGCAAAATTCTCCACAAGAAGAGACGGAGGAACTTTGGTAATGTCAGCTAAATCGATATGTTTCCAAATTACAACAGTTTTGTCTTTTTTTTCTCCCCCAGGGGACCTTACGCAGTCATATGTAAAGAAAAAAAGTATAAGTATTCAGAAATACCACAAATTCTTGCAGCTGATTTATTGTGACTGAGACAACTTGAAGTGCAGCCACTCATCAGACAAATGCAAAAACGTTTTTAGGCAGCATCTGTGTTTCACTGGAAATCAGCCATAAAAAGTAGCTAGCGAATAAATGTGCATTTATTTCAAACCTCAACATTATAAGGGTTTTTATGAAGTACAAACTCCCTGTTTGTTGTTGTTTGTGGAGGATAAAACCCCGGAATAATTTATAAATAGATTAAAGCAACCCACGAGGCTGTAAAATATTGGATTAAAACATATTGGGGACGATATTTTTAGCTGCACCATTTCTCGGTGAACAATCAGCTGCGGCAAATGGTTTTATGCATACATTGCTAAGTAGGCACCAGTGTGACAGAGTGAAATATGAACCATGGACAGTATGGGTACCTACTAGGACAGAGACAGCCACAAGCCTTAAGGTGGGACTGGGATCACATCAGGGAAAGTCTCTGGGGCCCCTTCTTGTTTGCAGTTGTGATGGACAGACTGAGTCTCTGTGGATTATGATGTTTGCAGATTACAAGATACATTTGGGGTGTGCTAAGAAGACATGGCAGCATTTTAAATCATGGATTTATGACACGCAAGGAGATAAACAGGGGAGAGAAGGATGCCATAGTGGCATCTTTAGTTTAGTTTACTAAGATCTCCATTAGCTGCAGCATTGCTATTCTTCCTGGGGTCACTTGTGATAGAAATGCCAAAATCTGGCCACAAGTAGCACAAGTAGTCGGGGACATGCTCCACCCTCTGGTTTTGTTTGAAAGTTCTTCTTGATGTCCAGAGATGACCAAAAGTGCTGGACTTTCCTCCACGGTCACTCACTGAATGTTAATGGGGTGCTTTTAAAGACAAATTCTATTAACCTATATCCTATTCTATTATCCTGACTCAGGTGTGCAATTTCTTTCAGTGGTCCTTTTAAAATGTGTTTTTCAGGCCTTTTGGAGTCTCCAGTGATGCCCCCACATGTAGCTGTGGACACAGTTCATTATAAGATCTTCATCTCTGGTAAGAGCGGAGTTGGGAAAACTGCTATTGCTGCACGTCTTGCAGGCATGAATATTCCCAGCATGCACCATGAAACCACAGGTAAGCCATTCACACTGGTGTAAAAACACAGATTTTTAACTAGATTATGTAGAACTAAGTGAGCCTATTTTTAAAAGTAGTTTACAAAGTTTCAAAAAGTTAAGAGGCTGACAATGTCACTAATATTCTTTGTCATTTTTTGTTGCTTAAGGCATTGAGACAACAGTGGTGTATTGGCCAGTGAAGTTAAAAGAAAGCAGCAGAGTGCTTTTCTTCCGTTTTCAGCTGTGGGACTGTGGAGAGAACGCCTTACGCAGATTTGACCATTTGCTTCCAGTATGAATGAGATAAAGCAAAGACTTAAACAATTATTCTAGATGTGGAAAACAAACAAACAGATTTCTGTGTTTTGTCTGATCTCCTTTCTGTCTCTCTTCCAGTCCTGCAAGGAGCAAGTGGATGCGGTCCTCTTACTATTCTCCTTCACAGACAGGACATCATTCGATGATCTGCCAAATCAGCTCGCCAAATGGTCCGAGCCATCTGTCAGGCGTGTTGTGAAAATGGTGGTTGGCACCAAGTATCCTTTTATCTTCCTTACAAATAGTTGGAAACGCCAATCAGAAGTAATCATCCACTTTTCTATGGGATCATCTGTGGTTCTACAAGACCAGGAGGCACAACTTTGAAGTGCCAAACCCCCCCCCCCCAAAACAAAACAAAAAAAAAACTAAGACAAGTCTGTGGCACAAACACACTCATTACATAAACATATTAATGTACAACCCATACAACCCTTAATGTTTCCTTCAGATTCGACCTTTTCATGCACTGTGATGTGGCAGAGCGAGATATAAGGGACTTCCAGGAGACATGGGGTATCCCGGTACTGCGTACAGGCGGGGAGGTCACAGATGGGCTAGGCGACGTAGCCTCACTCCTCAACTGCCTTGCAGAAAACCTGTGGCATCAGGACTGCGTTACAGCTGGCTCAGCCAGCCACCATTCGCAGGAGACAGTGACTCTGCTTTAAAAATGAACGTTGTTTTAAACAGCCTGGACTGAACCAGAGATGAGGGTGCTCACCTCTGAATGGGGCTCATGTTGAGATGATGATACTACATTACTTATATTACTTGGCTCCAAATTATGTATTCTATTAAAAAAAACACAAACAAAAAAAAAAACCCAGTAATACTTAAAAATAAAATACAATACAAAAAAAAATCTGAAAATTAAGTTTTGGATTATTAATATCACCTCAAAACATCTTTTGGTGAGAGGATATAAAATGCCACTATGGCATGGTGAGCATATTAAATATTTTGTCCGATTGTCATGGTACACACTTGTACTCCAGAAAGTGAATTAGAAATCATTTTATTATTAATTAAAGTTAACCGCACACTGCTTAAAAATTAATTGGTATTTTAAAGCAAGTCAGAAACAACAAAAACGTCTGTAGCGATGATCTAGCTCATCGTGAGGTTAGTGGACATTTGAACACAAAGCGCACCGAGTGCATCTTCACCAAGAACAGTGCAAAGTGTAGACTGAACCACTGATGAACCTTAAAAAGTGAACAAGTTAACGTTGTTTCAGTTGTCAGTTACATGGAGCCAAGTTTCGTCTTTAAAGTTTAAAGCTGCTAAAAGGTCAGTGTCTCGATGACAGCGCCTTCATCCATGCCTCTTTCTCCGACCTGTAATTTAAAAGAAGGCCATCAGATGGTGAGGGGGACTCCAACAGTTACAGATTGTATCCACTCTTGCCTTGTGTCTGTAGCGATTATCATTGCAGTCGGATGTCCAGTTTGAGTTTTAGAGAGATGTAGCAGGAAGGAGCATGAGGGCAGACCCAGGACTTCAGTCTTCACAGGCTGAACGCTCACGTGTTCTGGGAATTGAGCATGGTCCATTACTTTAAAGCGCTCATCTCTGAAAGGGATGGGAAGTAAGATTAGGAGCACATTTTCAATGTGGATCATAAGATCCTATTTTTCGTTGACTTGCACCAGCTTGGACTGTACAGAGACTAAAAAGTTTGATTGCTAGGATTGCTTGTCAAATACTTTTTCATAGAGACGATCAAAAGGTCATTGAAGAGGTGGAGGTAGACGCCAACGAATGACATTCTTAATTTATAAGTGCTCTCCTTGGTCAGCTGTTTCAGGGCTCCGTGGTGCACCAGGAAACGCTTGCTTGTGACCAGAGGAACTGACTGGATGGATGAAGAAGACGGACTCTGTTACTGCTGCAGGTTAAAGAAGACCACTATGTAGTCTATTAAAAACATTTGTGTCATCACCTTAACTTTTCCAAAATCCAGCAGCATTTCGAGGCAGACCAGCTCCTCAATCTGTTTCATTTTTCGGACCCCCTTGTCACACTCTGTCACTATCTGGGGTCAGAGTAGTGCAGTTGTAAAAGAATTAGGCAGATTTTTCACTTAAATAAAAAAAGCTGTCAATACTGAAGTGCAGAAATTCTGTTGCAAGTAAACATTGCATTCAGATTGGCAAGCATAACATTTTTTTTTTTTTTAAACAAGATCAAGTATAAAGTAGCAGAAAATGGAAAGTGAATCATTTTCTCTCGCATGTCTTGGCATGAACGTACAGATCTGAAAAGCATTACCTCATGAATGGCGTCTATTGCTTTTTTAAGGTTTGAAACTGAGTCAGAGTCTGGCTCAGTCAGTTTTAGGATGCTCTGAAATGAAAGAAAATGGAAACCTTAGCTAATGGAGCAAAAATCTGTTTAACAGTTCAAATCTCATCAGACGTTTACCTCCAACAGAAGCTTAATGCGAGTAATTCTCTGGAAGGGAAGGACGAGGAAGGACTTGAGGGTCTTTCTTTGACACACCGGGTCACTCTCGAGTTTCTTCAGGGTATACAGAAAAATTCTGTTGTGCTGCCTTGAAAAGGGAACATTTAACAGAGTTTGCATTGCGAGGTGTTGAGAATGCATTTGTATTCTGAAATACAGAGTACACTTACAGCTTTTCATTCATAAGGGCTTCTTGGTACATCATATTCGTCACATACGGCACATAGAGAGTCTGGAAATGTTTGCAGTGCTGGAGGATGACGTCGCCAACCTGAGAGATCAACACGTTCTCTCCCAGTCGGCTTTCCAAATCCGTAAGAAACCTAAAAAGACCCCAGGAGCCCAACTAAGCTAAAACATCAGAACAACCTGCCCATATATACAACAAGGTGCTACGTGTGGAGCTCTCACTTTTCACTGGCCACCATCACGTGTTGAATTTTGGAAAACAAGATGTGATGTTCTGTTTGAGACAGAGTCTGCTTGAGTTCCTGTGACTTATAAAAGTGATTTACGGCCACGCCGAGGCTCCTTAGGTAAGATGCTTCTGAGCCGATGAGCTCGAACATGGTCTTTAGAGGAAGAAAAGGAGGAGGTGGGGGGTTATTGGCAGTCAAACAAAATTTAGACAGCTTTATCTACAACGAAGGTAATAGTGTTTCAAAATACCATGTCAACAAATTCCATAAAAACCAGAAAGAGCAGCTCCTGTTGCCATACAATTAAATCCTGATGTCAGCAGAATATTTTTAAGCACTCAAATGAACTGAAAGAAATTACCTAAAAATCCAAAATATACCTATAAAAGGACCTCTTTTTGCAGTTCCCCTCATTTTAATTTCCTGGTAATAGTTCTTAACCATTGCTGTGGATTAATTGAGCTCACTCTGGTTTTCCAGTTTGAGCGGCCTGTTTAAGGTCACTGCAGAGCATCTCAATCTGCTTTAAGCCCAGACTTTGACTACGCCGATTCAAACCTTTATTTGATGCTTCTTTCTTTCTAACCTAAGTACACTTGAGCTTCAGGACATGAACTGATGGCTGGACATTCTCCTTCAGGATTTTCTGGAAGTCTTTAGAATTCATTTAGATTTTGGAATTATTCCAGAAGATACCTGAATTAAAAAGTTCAGCTTTTGTCTCAGAGAATATTTTCCCTCATCAAAATGTTTTTGGCAAATGTGAGATGAGCCTTTGTGTTTTCTGGGGGGTCAGCAGTGGGGTTTTTTTTGCCTTGGAATTCTTTCATGGATGTCATTTTTGCCCATTCTTTCTTATTGCTGAATCATGAACATTGACCTTTAAGGAGACAATTGAAACCTGCAGTTCTTTAGATGTTATGGGTTCTTTTGTGGCCTCTTAGATGAGTTGAAGCGCTCTTGGAGTAATTTTGGAAGGTTGACCACTTCTGGTAGGTTCACCACTGCTCCAAGTTTTTACCATATATGGATATTGGCTCACTCTGTGATTTGCTGGAGTCCCAAAGCCCTTAGAAGTGGCTTTGTAATCCATTCCAGATGTCTTTTTTTTAGTTTGTGGCCTGACATGCTGCTTTTTGAGATCTTTCATCTTATTTCACTATAAATCAGTTTTTAAGTAATTTCTTGATTCGTCAGGTCTGGCAGTAATAAAGTCTATGGTGTGGCTAGTGAAACTGAATTAAGGTTTCCACAAAAAGGGAGGTGAACACAATTCATGATTTCACAAATGGAATTACTTAATTAGTTTTTTACAGGACTGTACATTTGCAGTCAAACATACGCTATACAGGTAAAGACTGAAATGTTGCGATCAAACAAACTTGATGCAGGCATATTTAACTTTATTAAAGATCCTAAGAGCAATATGAACACTTATGCTCTGCTTCATGAGTGTGATTATAATGTACCTTCCAGTTTAGTTAAATTGCATGCAACATCTCTAATACATGAAACATGTTTTTTTTTTACATTTTTGCACACCTCTTGAAGGCGAATCTCTCTGGCTGTCAAGCTGCTGAGTAGACCAGATGTCTTCACCTCATCCAGGTCTTGCCAGAGTGTACTTGGAGTCACCCTAATAGGCTGAGATCGAGGAGTTGCATGACGAGCGCTTCGCTGAGGGCTTTCAGCACGAGTCACCGGTGTCTGCAGGCTTTGCAGATACTTGGGAGTTATCAGTTCAGACAACAAACCGTCTTTGAGTCTGTGGAGATCATCTTTCATTGTCTGCAGACAGTAATCCTGATACAGTGGGACTGCAGAGCAGAATGAGAAAGACAAAAAAACACCTTTACAAAAATTACGCTTTAAAATTTAAATGTGATGATGATACCTTAAGAAGAAGGTTAAACTTACAAATATGAATGTACTTTGACTGGAATCGTTCACTCTGCAATTCCTCCCCAATCACATTCTCTTCTCTGGATTTATTAAGAAGGCCACATGCAGTTAGCTATAAAATATTTTTGCCAAAGTTAAGAGATCCTCACCTCATCTTACCCTTCTTTGCTTTTATCCGGATCACATTGTGCGGACGAGCTTGAGTTATCTTCCTGAAGTCCAGGTGGCAAGAAGATTTTCAATTTGGGTGCTGCCAAATGATTGTTTTTCAAATCCCATGTGCGCCTTAAAGCCACCAATCTGAGAGCCGGAGATATGCCTGAGAGAAAACTGTGACAGGATAAAAGATTTTATAGTTCTGGATAAAAAGGCTCACCTGTTTTGTACTCATTTTAGATTAAAGAAAATCTCATATGTGGGGCCAGTTCCCCCATTGCGTCAATTTGACTTAAAATGATGAAAACTTGAAAACTTTGAACAGGAAACTAATTTTGACTCTATACTTCACTACACTGCATTTGAAATTGAGATGCATTTAGTCATAATGAAGCAGTTTATAGCCATAAGTCTTTTAAAAACCATTGGCATCTTTCAGGGGCTGAGGTCCTTACCTGCAATTCTCAGGCTTGTTTAAAGACCCGCTGCCTCCATCAAGGCCTCCAGTGTGCTCTGCCCTGCTGTTTTCCAGAGAAAAGCCCTGACAGAGCATCTCTCTCCCCTCTGTGGTTGGTGACTGAGACATTATTTACTCAGTAGATGACTTCTAAACTAGTGTATGTTTGTAATGGGTTTTCTCACTGTGGGCGTCAGCTGTAGTCTGCAATTGATCTTTTACTAAACCCTGTCCAAAGTGGATGTGGATGGATCCTTCCTGTGTCCCACAGCCAATCAGACACAGTTTGAGTTACCAGCAGTCTGAGCGTTTAGCAGCAATCAAAAAACAAACTAGAAGCAGGTGTGTTTCTTTACATGCTCCTTTAGGGTTTTACAATCTATGGAGGCTTGTTTCTGCCACAATTAAAAAAAACAAAACAAAACAAAAAAACAACAACACAGCTGTAAGTCAAAGTTTGAGGTTATTATCTCAAAATTTTAATGTAACTAAAAGTGTCACATTATTTTCTTAGAAGTCTGAGTCAGTAGGTTAAACTTATGGATGTCAAAAGATCTTTTTTTCCCCCAGTGGTGCAGACAAGCTTCCATACCCAAGAGCAGTGGGCTATTTTTTTTCACTTTTTAGATTAGTCCAAGTCATGGCAACATCATTATTTTGATACCACATATCCTTTAAGATGTCCATTTTAAAAAGTGGTTTATTTAAGATTATGGAGAATATTTTTTAAAAGCAAGATATGGAAACTCGTACTTTCTATACTTGGCATGTGTTTGAAAAAAAAAAAAAAAAGACTTAAAACTCACACACGTCTTTACAAATACTAGTTTCATTTTATTTGCAATTTAAAATTCCATACAAGATAAAAGTAAATAATTCAATCTGCCTGAACATTGTGGATAATGTACATGACTCAAATAAAGCCATTAAAAGTCCCGATAGATGACATACTGATGAAACGTCTGACTTTTTTTTTTTTTTTTTAGAAACCGATTATAAAATAAAATATGGATGTTTGAACACATGATCAAACACTACGAAGAACTTACACAAAATAAAAGACTTCCTGAACGGGAGCTACAAACAGATTTGTAATCTAGACATGGCAAAGCGCTGAAAAAAGTGGATACATACAGTACAAGATACCTTCGGTAAATAACATACTGAATCAATCAATCCCATTTATGATCGTACTTCGGCAAACCCACTCGTTATTTTATAGTGATGATAACATTGACATGTTGGGTTTCCCTTGTCAATGGAAATTGTAAACTTGATCAAAAATGATCAACCCTTCTTAACTGCAAAAGTTCTTCCAACATTGGGTTGTTGCATTAGGTTTTATTCAAAAAAGGAAAAGAAAACCATTAAAATATCCACATTTGTGCTGAACAATCTCAAGCTCACCAAACAAAAGTTACTGTGGTATGAGTAGCGGGTAATGCTACTCCACTCTGAGATTGTTTTGTTTTATTGACGATTAACAAATTAGACAAGAGTAGTTGTATGATATGTCAAAGAGGGGGAATTACAATAATGTTTAATGGTTCAGTAATCAATAACGGGCATTTAATAATATATCAATGCTGAACGATGAAACGAGAAGAAAATCATTCTATGTTACCAAATCTCTAAAAACCAATCAAGTGGGTGAGGACCCAAAACATCTGCATGCAAACACACCTCACATTTCTTTTTAGCCAGAAAAGTATCAGCAGTTGTCCTGTTTCTTCTCGGATAGTCTGTACGACAAACCAAGAGACAGCATTTCCCTGTTTCTTTTACGTGGTCCCTGCTAAAAATGGGGACTGAGACATCTGGATTGGTAACAAGGTTCCAAATAAGACAGATGCTAATTTGGGAGGCCAGGGACTCACGTGATTGGTTTTGAGTCTAGGTGGGCACAGTGATACTGCGGGCTAGAAGTGCCAGCAGAGCTAGCTCCACAACCCCATGGGCTTGTTCCAGTGCCTCTGCAGCCTCCCTGGCAGAAAAGCCTGCTGCCTGGATTCTCTGGATGTGCTCGGCTGGAAACTGTTCTATAAAGGGATGTAGAGGAGGGAGAGGAGAGGCTGGAGATGAAGGCTGGGGAGTCTGAGCCAGAGGAGGAACTGATGAGGACAAGTTGCTTGAAACTTCCTCCGGTGAGCCCGCTGCCATTGACATAGGGCTGAGTAAAGTGTGCTCAGTTTGGAGGCCTAGGTTGTCTGGGGTATTGGTGCCAGAGGCTTGTCCATCTGCGACCCCTCTCCCATGCTGCCCCTCAGGAGGCTCCCTGAACTCCAGATCCTCAGGGGGATCAAGTGGAACCTCTGGCTCAGACTGAGAAAAGCTGATGTTACTCGCCTCATCTTGCCGACATCTGTCTGCCCTCCTCTCCTCATAGCTATGTGGACACTCTAGTGGTCCTTGTCCAATCACAGCCTCTACTGTATCACCGCCCAGATGTTCATCCTGGCCAGAGTGGTGGGGCGCAAGACACTTAGATGGTTCCCCATCAGACACAGCAGCAGCATAGTTGGCTTTGGCATCGCTTGGTTCTGCACCGGGTGTAATGGCAGTAGAGGGGGTAAGCTGGGTATTTTCGGGGATTGAGGTGCACGGTTCGGGGGACATGTTGTCTGTGTCCTGCCTGAATGGATTTGAAGGAGAGCAGGAGGTGCTGCGATTTTGTGACTGAGCACAGTTGTTGGATACCAGCAGCTCATGGAGCTCCCTAAGGGCAGATGCCAACGAGGGGATGCTTTCAGAGCTGGAGCAGTGCTCTCCATCAGGCTGATCCCTCTCAGAGCACACCATACTGTCAGAAGCAGTGGGAGACTTCATTTCAATTGAGTCAGGTTCCCTGGGAGCACCTGGACCGACTTCCGTTGTAACAGCAGTATCACACTCTGTCACCTCCTGCTCCATGGGCTGAATGGGGGAAAGTTCCTCTGAATGGGGAAGCATGGAGCTGTTCTCCACCTCATCTGATTCAGCATCCCCCTTTATGGCTCCAGGCTGTAGCTCTCCCCCTGGATCCTGGGATACGTAGTTCATGTCTGCAGGAGGGGTACACGAACGCACGACATCTGTTGAGGGACTGCTTAGAGGGGGCACCACTGAGTTGCTATGGAGAGGCAAAGGGTCAGGGTGGATATGGTGAGGTATAGAAGCTCCATCCTCTGCTGGGGATGAAGGCTGAGGAAGCTCCTGGAAGCCAGGTCGATCCTGGCACTGCCCTGGTGCTAAGGTCTGCTGCATGGCGGCAGGGGCAGACTGAGAGCGATCCAGGGTTGGGTTCTGGGGTTGATCAGAGGAGAGGCTTTGGGAAGGGGAGGTGGCTGACGACGTTTGGCCTAAGGTTTTGGGTAATGAAAATGGTTGGGGCTGCGGTGAGGTAGTTTGTCCATCTGCAGTGTCTATCACAAGAGAAAATATGCCTAGGAATTAAACTGTGAACCCCAGTGTGAGACAGTAACTATGTCAATTTAATAGCTTTAGAACCAAACACAAATACATATTCTCTCACCCAAATTCTTCAATGCATTCTATACTAACATACTTTATTCATTATTCATTAATATTAATTATAATGAATTTCCTATTCCAATTCAATCAAATATAAATAATCACAAGAAATGCATCAGTAAATAACAACAAAGGTACAACACTGATTACCTGACCCAGCAGCAAAATAACAGCAAAATAAAAGAAACAAATAGCAATGGACTTAGCACTGGCAATGGACTTGTGAATTTTGCAGTACCTGGTTGGTAGGGCCCTCTCCAGCTGTCTCCAAATGCATCAGTGCTGTCCTGCTCAGGGGTTAGGGCACACACCACACACATCATGCAAAGGGACGGAGAAAGTTAGCAGTCACACACAGGGCATGCACCAAACTATCGGCCTTTTCACACACACAGATGTGAAAAGTGTCATCCAAAAATAAATAAATAAATAAATCTAAAAATTCTCGGGTCTAGGTCCTGACAAAGAGGTTGCAGCGTACATCCCCATAACTAAACGTCAGGGGAGCTCAATTCAAAGGGTTGTTCAGCAGTTAAAACTGTGGGCTGATTAAACTGTCTCTCCTGACTCGAGTCCATTAACAACCTCCAGTCATTGCTGGGCATCACTGGAAACAACAACAAAGACTTAATGGGGTTCTTGCACAAATAATAATGTGAGTATTAAAGGGAAACTGAAGAGTCCTGTATGGGTGGAAAAGCACCACTTTCCACTGACAGTGTATCTGTGTTGGTAACTTTCTAAAGTAGGAGTGAGCGATGTCAAAAAATGACATAATTCCAATAAATTAAACTCTTATTTTTCAATATTTTCTTTAAAAAAAACCTGTTTATACATTAGAAAAGTTGCTGGACAAGAAATGTTGTCATGTAATAATCCACTAACTTACAACACTCACAACACCCTAAAGGAGAAACTTCACTATAATGATGCCAAAGTATTTATTTGGTGCTGGAAGAGCTAATGACGAACAGTTTAACCCTTTATCACACAACTATCATGTCACCTGGACTACTGTGAAATTATAAAAC